CTTTTCCCATGTAAATTAGTATATACTTTTGTATAATAATAAGCTCATTATTTATAGTTTCATATATGATTATCATAATTGGACTATGAATTTCATATAGGAATAGGATGAATGCTACTGGTTTCACTACAACATTTTCTTAGTTTAGTGACATTTGAAAGTGTCACAAAACTATTCTTCTAATGACATTTTTTGGTCTTGTGACATTTTGAACATGTGCCACTTCTATCGATGCCACGGTAGATACGAGTGCCACGGTAGATACTTGTAAGTACCACTGCACCATCATGGCTGAAAACTTTCAATGACATTTTAATGTCATAGTAGATATTATTTGTGGCACTATCAAGCGCCATTAAAAAAAGAGTTAGTGACACTTGTAAGTGTCATTACACCATCAAGACTAAAACCTTTCAGTGACACTTTAATGTCATGGCTATCAAGTGTCATTCATGACGATAATTCGTTGTAGAACAATTTGATCCGCTCTTGTGGAGACTCGAACTGCCAACCTTCCGCACCATAAACCTTATACACCACACTCTTCCCACTACACCTCTATAGCACCACATGATTATATATGCAACATATATTATTTATATAGTACATTAATCCCTATTAATATAAAAGTATATGTATAAACATAATTATTTTATTGAACATAGTTTATGTAAAATAAACTATTTACTACCAAAATAAAAAAAGACCACTTTTGGCGACTAAATATTTTTTAGTCGCCAATTCTATACTTTTGGCTACTAATTATTTTTTAGTTGCTAAAAAACTTAACTTTTGTTGACCAAAATCGGATTTGATCGCCGAAGAAGCACTTTCAGCTACCAAAATTTTGGTCACCAAAAAATTTTATTCCCGCCTTAGGATTTTAGTTCTCCCGCCCTAAAAATGACCACTTTTGGCGACTAAACTTATTTTTTAGTCGCCAATTGTAGACTTTTGGCTACTAAAATTTTTTTTGGCACCAAAAAGCTTAACTTTTGGCTACTAAAATTTTTTTAGTCGGTAAAACCCATATAATCAGTGACCAAACTTATTTTTAGTCGCCAATTGTAGATTTTTGGCTACTAAAATTGTTAAGTTGCCAAAAAGCATTACTTTTGGCAACTAATGCTGTTTTGGTCGCTGAAAGCTATACTTTCAGCGACCAAATTTTTTTGGTCAGGAAATTTAGTCGCCGAATATGCTTTTTCCTGTAGTGTATATTGAGTTTAATTCATTTATTTTTAATCATTTACTGCATTTTAAAAATTTAGAAAATATATTGGCATTTTTTGTTTTTTCAAAAATGTCATTATAAGCTTGGAAAGTTTTTGGCTTAGTGGAATTTCTCAAAATGCTATAAATATTTGTTTATGACACTTTTCACCTAAGTGCCATAAAAAATAATTTGCACCTACCTAGTGTCCTGACATTTTTTAAAAAATGCCATTGCAACTAAAGTTTAGTGGCATCTGTTGGTAAATGTCACGAACATAATTTTTCGTGTCATTATTTTATAAAATGTCGTAAAATTGATGTGACATTTCTTTATTGAAATGCCACTAGAGCCTTATATGTTTTGTGGTTCTGTGGCATTTTTCTAAAACATTTAATGTCAATTTTTATTTTTGTCACATTTTCTAAAAACATGCTACTAGTGTAGTGTCACTAAAGTGTAAATTTGTTGTAGTGACATTTTTGTTGTAGTGAAGTGACACTTTTTTTAATTGAAATGCCACTAGAGCCATGTATGTTTGTGGCTCTATGACATTTTTCTAAAAAATGCCACCAAATATTCTTTTTGTGACATTTTTTAAGAACATGCCACTAGTATGGTGTCACTAAAATATGTTTTTGTTGTAGTGTTGTGACACTTGTTCATTGAAATGTCACTAGAGCCTTTTATGTTTGTCATTTTGTGGCATTTTTCAAAAACGTGCCACTAGATATCATTTTTGTGGCATTTTCTAAAAATATGCCACTAGGGTAGTGCCACTAAAGTATGTTTTTGTTGTAGTTTTGTGACACTTGTTCATTGAAATGTCACTAGAGCCTTTTATGTTTGTCGTTTTGTGGCATTTTTCAAAAACGTGCCACTAAATATCATTTTTTTGTGGCATTTTCTAAAAATATGCCACTAGTGTAGTGCCACTAAAGTATGTTTTTGTTGTAGTGTTTCATCCTAATTGACTAATATTGCATATGTATATTTTGATTTTGCATGCTTCTAGCTTTACTATCTAATTTGCATTTGAAATTGCTTCTAGTTTTCTAGAATTATACGCATAAGTTATTTCCATGTTTATATATAATTCATGGCAATAAATTTAATTTTGGTATTTGAGATTATAAATTTTAAGGTTTGTAACTTGTGTATTTATTTCCATGAACAATGTGTGATTTAATTGGATGAATTAAATTTTGAATTTAATTTATTTATTTTGGAGTTATAAAATTTGTGTAACTTGCTTATATTTATTTACATGGTTATTGTGAATTAAATTCTTTTATAATTCATGGCAATTAATATGTAATTTAGTAGTTAGAGTTGTAAGTTTTGTAAGTTATTTAGGAGTTATAAGGCTTTGTAACTTTTATAGTATCTTAATTCATTATTTATTTTTCTATTCTATGATTTGCTAGAAAGTTAAATAATATTTAATTGTATGTACAATTTCTTTAGATTAGTTACTTTGTATTATGTTGTCGTTTGCTACTAACTTTCTTTGTAGGCATACCTAAGCGTGGAAAGGAATTTTATGGACTACTTATAATCCTCAATTGGATTGGTTTATTTTTCCTTTATATTTGAAACAATTTTTGTCTTGAGATTTATTTGGTTTGTTTGCCAAGTTTGTAAAAGCAAGTTTTCTTTGCTTATAATGTTGTAGCAATTGTTTTACATTGCTTGTAAAAGTTTTGGACCTTGGTTTGTTTTAACCTAGTTCATCCCTTGGAAATTTAATTTTAAAAATTGTTTCTCACGGATTAGGAGTCAACATGCTCTTGAAAGTTTTGTCAAAAGGTTAACTGGGTTTTAAGTGAGACCGTTGTGACTCCTCCAGTCTTCCTGGGAATATTTTTGATCATGTTCAATTCTAGGTTTAGTGGTGAGACTAATTTTGAATTAACTTTTCAACTATAAGATTTTCTAGTGTTAAGTTTAATTTCTGAAAACACAGAACGTGATATTCTGGTGTAATTTTCAAAATGGCAACCCGGGCAACTGGGTTGCCAACCCCTACTGCTGTGACCTCTGTAGTCAACCTTGGTGTTCCTTCGGCTGTTCCAGGAGGACCGCTCAGTCATCATGAGCACCCAGAGAAATTTGCTAGGGTAAACTTCAAGAGATGGCAGCGAAAGATGTTGTTCTACTTGATCACGTTGAACCTTGCAAAGGTTTTGAGCGAGGATCCTCCAGTTCTGGCAGAGAATGAGCCATAAAGGCAGAAAGTCATGGCGTTTGACACATGGAAGCAGACAGACTATCTCTGTCGGAACTATGTGTTCAACAGCTTGGCAGACTCACCATACAGTGTATTTTGTGCCAAGAGCTCAGCAAAGGAGTTATGGGAATCTTTGGACAAGAAATACAAGACTGAGGATGCCAGGGCAAAGAAATTTGTAGTTGGCCAGTTCTTGGACTTTAAAATGATCGATTCAAAAACTGTGATAAGCCAAGTCCAAGAGTTCCAAGTGATCTTGCATGAGATTCATGCTGAGGGGATGCCGTTGAACGAGTCATTCCAAGTTGCTGTGATCATTGAGAAACTTCCCAATGGTTGGAAGGACTTCAAGAACTGCTTGAAGCATAAGCAGAAAGAAATGTCTGTTGAATAACTAATTGTCTGACTCCGAATTAAGGAGGATAATAGAAAGAAATGAGGGAGTACCTCCTCTGTGAAGGCTAATATCATCGAGCATGGTAAATCTTCTGGGGTGAGGAAGAAGCCTCATGTGAACACGGGCTCAAATCTGGGGCCAAGGGGTGGTGTTGCAAAGAAGCCGGCATACAAGTTGTAAGAACCTGGTTATCGGTCCTTAAGGAAGTGCTAAAACTGTGGTAGCGAGGGGCATCAGGCTAGTGACTGCTGCAAGCAAAAGAAGCCATACAAGACCAAATCTTGTGCTCATATGGCAGATATACAAGAGCACTCCAACGAGGAGGACGATATGCATTTTTCTACCGTTGTCTCTAAGGTGAATCTAGTGGGTTCAAATTCAAGAGAATGATGGATTGATACTGGGGCTGCACGGCACATCTACTCCGAGAAGAAGCTGTTTACAACTTTCGAGCCGGTTACAAACGGTGAGAAGTTGTTTATGGGAAACTCTGCTACCTCGATTGTTGAGGGGAAAGGAAAGGTGGTCCTGAAGTTGACTTCAAGAAAGGAGCTGACCTTGAACGAAGTCCTGTATGTTCCGGACACTCGTAAGAATCTTGTCTCAGGGTCTCTTCTCAGCAAACATGGTTTTCACTTGGTTTTTGAGTCCGACAAGGTCATTTTGACCAAGAGCAGAGTGTTTGCCTAAGCGTGGAAAGGAATTTTATGGACTACTTATAATCCTCAATTGGATTGGTTTATTTTTTCTTTATATTTGAAACAATTTTTTGCTTGAGATTTATTTGGTTTGTTTGCCAAGTTTATAAAAGCAAGTTTTATTTGCTTATAATGTTGTAGCAATTGTTTTACATTGCTTGTAAAAGTTTTGGACCTTGGTTTGTTTTAACCTAGTTCATCCCTTGGAAATTTAATTTTAAAAATTGTTTCTCACGGACTAGGAGTTAACATGCTCTTGAAAGTTTTGTCAAAAGGTTAACTGGATTTTAAGTGCGACCATTGTGACCCTTCCAGTCTTCCTGGGAACATTCTTGACCATGTTCGATTCTAGGTTTAGTGGTGAGACTAGTTTTGAATTAACTTTTCAACTATGGGATTTTCTAGTAGTAAGTTTCAATTCTGAAAAACACAGAACGTGGTATTCTGGTGTAATTTTCAGAAATGGCCATTATCACTAATGTTATTGCTACTACTAACGTTGGTGGGGATCTGAACTCCGGGCAACTGGGTTGCCAACCCCTACTGCTGTGACCTCTGTAGTCAACCTTGGTGTTCCTTCGGCTGTTCCAGGAGGACCGCTCAGTCATCATGAGCACCCAGAGAAATTTGCTAGGGTAAACTTCAAGAGATGGCAGCAAAAGATGTTGTTCTACTTGATCACGTTGAACCTTGCAAAGGTTTTGAGCGAGGATCCTCCAGTTCTGGCAGAGAATGAGCCATAAAGGCAGAAAGTCATGGCGTTTGACACATGGAAGCAGACAGACTATCTCTGTCGGAACTATGTGTTCAACAGCTTGGCAGACTCACCATACAGTGTATTTTGTGCCAAGAGCTCAGCAAAGGAGTTATGGGAATCTTTGGACAAGAAATACAAGACTGAGGATGCCAGGGCAAAGAAATTTGTAGTTGGCCAGTTCTTGGACAATCTCTGGACAAAAAGTACAGGACTGAGGATGCCGGGGCAAAGAAATTTGTGGTTGGCCGTTTCCTTGATTTTAAAATGGTAGATTCTAAAACTGTGATAAGCCAAGTCTAGGAGTTCCAAGTGATCCTGCATGAAATTCATGCTGTGGGGATGCCTTTGAACGAGTCATTCCAAGTTGCTGTGATCATTGAGAAACTTCCCAATGGTTGGAAGGACTTCAAGAACTGCTTGAAGCATAAGCAGAAGGAAATGTCTGTTGAATAACTAATTGTCTGACTCTGAATTAAGGAGGATAATAGAAAGAAAGGAGGGAGTACCTCCTCTGTGAAGGCTAATATCATCGAGCATGGTAAATCTTCTGGGGTGAGGAAGAAGCCTCATGTGAACACGGGCTCAAAGCTGGGGCCAAGGGGTGGTGTTGCAAAGAAGCCGGCATACAAGCTGTAAGAACCTGGTTATTGGTCCTTAAGGAAGTGCTACAACTGTGGTAGCGAGGGGCATCAGGCTAGTGACTGCTGCAAGCAAAAGAAGCCATACAAGACCAAATCTCATGCTCATATGGCAGATATACAAGAGCACTCCAACGAGGAGGACGATATGCATTTTTCTGCCGTTGTCTCTAAGGTGAATCTAGTGGGTTCAAATTCAAGAGAATGATGGATTGATGCTGGGGCTGCACGGCACATCTACTCCGAGAAGAAGTTGTTTACAACTTTCGAGCTGGTTACAAACGGTGAGAAGTTGTTTATGGGAAACTCTGCTACCTCGATTGTTGAGGGGAAAGGAAAGGTGGTCCTGAAGTTGACTTCAAGAAAGGAGCTGACCTTGAACGAAGTCCTGTATGTTCCGGACACTCGTAAGAATCTTGTCTCAGGGTCTCTTCTCAGCAAACATGGTTTTCACTTGGTTTTTGAGTCCGACAAGGTCATTTTGACCAAGAGCAGAGTGTTTGTAGGTAAGGGTAATATGTTGGGGGGTATGTTTAAACTCAATGTAATGACTGTTATCCGAAAGATAAATAAAGATGCATCTTCTTCTGCTTACATGCTTGAGTCTTCCAATTTGTGGCATGGTAGACTAGGACATGTGAACTTTGAATCTTTACGTAGATTAATTAAGTTAGATCATAGACCATCTTTAAAGATTAATCCAAAACACAAGTGTGAGACTTGTATTGAAGCGAAGTTGACAAGATCTTCCTTTCATTCTATTGAAAGAAGTTCAAAGCCGTTAGACTTAGTGCATAGTGATGTGTGTGACTTAAAGTTTATACAATCACGTGGTGGCAATAAATATTTCATCACTTTTGTTAATGATTGCACTAAATATTGTTATGTCTATTTGCTCAAAAGCAAAGATGAGGCTATTGACAAATTTGTTCTTTATAAGAATGAAGTTGAGAATCAATTAGGCCGCAAGATTAAGGCTTTAAGAAGTGATCGTGGTGATGAGTATGAGTTATCGTTTATCGAGATTTGTACTCAATTTGGGATTATCTACCAAACCACGGCGCCTTATATGAGTTATCGTTTATCGAGATTTGTACTCAATTTGGGATTATCTACCAAACCACGGCGCCTTATTCTCCTCAGTCAAATAGGATTGCTGAACGAAAAAATAGGACACTAAAGAAGATGATGAATGCAATGTTGCTAAGTTCTGGATTGCCACAGAACTTGTGGGGGGAAGCAATTCTCTTCGCGAATTACATTCTAAATAGAATCCCTTGGAAAAAAGTAGACAAGACTCCATTTGAGTTCTGGAAAGGCTGGAAGCCTTCTTATAATTTCCTACGAATATGGGGTGTCTTGTAAAAGTGGCGATACCTACACCCAAACGGGTTGGGATAGGTCCAAAAATCGTGGATTGTATATTCATTACTTATGCACAGAATAGTAGTGCATAGAGACTCCTTGTGCACAAGTCTGATATTTCAGATATCCACAAGAATACCATAATGGAGTCAAGGAATGCGTCTTTCTTTGAAAACACATTTCCTTGCCAAACCCGAGGAGAGGATCAAAGTTCTGAGAAGGAACTTGAAGATAATGATCAAGATGATGATCAAGTAGATGATCAAGATGAGAAAGTCGATGAGCTAAGAAGGAGTAAGAGGGCTAGGACTACCAAGTCCTTTGGCCCGGACTTCTTGACTTATATGTTAGAGAGAGAACCTCGAACTTTTCATGAAGTGGTGACATCACCAAAAAATCCCTTATGAAAAGAAGCTATTAAAAGTGAAATTGACTCCATCTTACAGAACCATACTTAGGAGTTGGTTGATCTAACCCCAGGCAGTAAGGCCTTGGGGAGTAAGTGGATCTTTAGAAGAAAGATGAAGGCTGATGGGTCAATTGATAAATATAAAGCTAGACTAGTTATCAAAGGATATAGGCAGCGAGAAGGCCTGGATTATTTTGATATGTATTCACTTGTGACAAGAATTACATCTATTCGCATGGTGATTGCGATAGCCGCTTTACGTGGTCCAGAGATATATCAAATGGATATAAAGACAGCTTTCTTAAATGGAGATTTAGATGAAGAAATCTACATGGAACAACCCGAGGGGTTTTCAGTTCCAGGGAAAAATAAGAAAGTCTGTAAGCTTGTCAAGTCATTATATGGTTTGAAACAACCGCCTAAGCAATGGCATGAGAAGTTTGACAATGTTATGTTGTCAAATAGATTTAGAATCAATGAGTGTGACAAGTGCATATATGTTAAAGACACTGACAGAGGTTATGTCATTTTGTGTCTATATGTAGACGACATACTGATTGTTGGTAGTAATGATGAAATGGTTCAAACTACCAAGAGATTATTAAACTCAAAGTTTGACATGAAAGATATGGGCCTTGCAGATGTCATTCTAGGTATTAAGATTATCAAAACATCTAGTGGTATTGTACTTTCTCAGTCTCACTATGTTGAGAAGATACTTGAGAAATTTAGTAAATTAGATACGAGTGTGTCTTAGACACCAATAGACGTGAGTCTACATTTGACCAAGAATAATGATGAGAGTGTCTCTCAGCTAAAATATTCTCGGGTCATTGGAAGTTTGATGTATCTGATGAGTTGTACAAGGCCGGATATAGCCTACTCTAAAAGCAGGCTTCGTAGATACACGAGTAATCCTAATGCCACTCATTGGAGAGGCATTATGCGGGTGTTAGGTTATCTATGTTACACCCGGGATTATGGGCTGCATTATGCCAAATACCCAGCGGTACTAGAAGGGTATAGTGACACTAACTGGATATCTGATATAAAAGACTCCAAATCCACTAGTGGTTATGTGATTACCCTCGGAGGGGCAACCGTGTCTTGAAAATCTTCCAAGCAAACGTGTATATCAAGATTAATGATGGAATCTGAGTTTATTGCGTTGGATAAAGCAACTGAAGAGGCTAAATGGCTTCGCCAGTTCGTTGACAATATTCCACGTTGGCCGAAACCTGTGCCTGCTATTTGTATTCATTGCGATAGCCAATCGCCGATTAGATGGGCGCAGAGTCATATGTATAATGGAAAGTCTAGACATATCCGTCGTAGACATAATTCCACATGACAACTACTCTCTAATGGAATTGTCTCTCTGTACTATGTAAAGTCTAAGGACAACATTGCGGATCCGCTAACCAAAGGGTTAACTCGAGAGTTAGTAAAAACATCGTCAAGAGGAATAGGGTTAAGGCCTTTAGTAATGTTACCGGAACGGAAAACCTAACCTAGTTGACTGGAGATCCCAAGATCTAGGTTCAAAGGGACAGCCTAATTTCGTGTAATGGATGAGTCACTGAAGAGGTAAATCCTCTTGTCCATTCCTTTGTGCAGTGATACCTGATGAGGGTAGAAGGTTAAGCTAATGCTTTTAATGACCTCTCATATGATAGTCAACCGGGGTATAATGAGATACCTTATATAGGTCACCTATGTGAGTGCGAAATGGGGCCGCTTCTTTAAGAATTGGTAAGGCTGAATTCTTTAAAACCACTCACTAAACCAAGCTAGTGTTCCAGGGCCATACCGAACACACAAGTGAGAACAAGAACAATGGTTGGACTAACTCCTGTGTGAGGTCTGTTGTCTCGGTTTACACAAACGGCAGAACAGTTCAAGACATCACATTCACTGGTCAGCCAGTAAATCCGATAGGTTGTCAATACAAACGGTTCAAGGCCAACAGCTACCTTTTCTTACGCAGGGTTAGTCTGTGTGCTCTCTCTCTGAGTCTTTGTTGAACGGTGTCCCTTTGTTGAGTCATTTGGAAGAGGTAAATCCTCTTGTCCATTCCTTTGTGTAGTGATACCCGATGAGGGTAGAAGGTTAAGCTAATGCTTTTAATGACCTCTCATATGATAGTCAACCGGGGTATAATGAGATACCTTATATAGGTCACCTATGTGAGTGCGAAATGGGGCCGCTTCTTTAAGAATTGGTAAGGCTGAATTCTTTAAAACCACTCACTAAACCAAGCTAGTGTTCCAGGGCCATACCGGACACACAAGTGAGAACAAGAACAATGGTTGGACTAACTCCTGTGTGAGGTCTGTTGTCTCGGTTTACACAAACGGCGGAACAGTTCAAGACATCACATTCACTGGTCAGCCAGTAAATCCGATAGGTTGTCAATACAAAAGGTTCAAGGCCAACAGCTACCTTTTCTTACGCAGGGTTAGTCTGTGTGCTCTCTCTCTGAGTCTTTATTGAACGGTGTCCCTTTGTTGAGTCATTTGGTCAATTTTTATTCATGTGGGAGATTGTTGGAAAAAATGAATTTTTGGTGACTTTAACTAAATATTAATGTGGGTCCCAACCATCTATTGTGTTGGGTCCAAGTGGATCTACATACTTTGCAATAAGATCTTTACACCACAAATAGAATGGCCAAAAACCATTGAGAATTGAATGAGAAATTGCCCCATAAAGTTAGCTTCCTGAAAGAGTTAATGGGGTTTGTAACTTCTGCCTTTATTGCAGAGTTAAATAGTGCATTAATGGGGTTTGTAACTCCTGCCTTTATTGCAGAGGTTAATGGTGTATTAGTGACCAACCATAAAGGTTGGAGGCTTCTCCTTTCTCCCCTATACATGTATAAATTGAGACCCTCCTATCAAGTCTCAAACACAAAAATTGCTTCTCCTCTCCCCCTATAGGAAAATGAGGGTTTAACGGCGTTTAATTAATGACGTTTTATTAAACGTCACTTTTTTTGATAATTAACGGTGTTTTTTAAACGTCGCCTTTGCTGTTAGGTAAAACGGTACCGTTTTGAAAATAGAAGACGTTTAAAAAGTGCCTCCAAACCCTGTCTCTTTTTACACCCTCTTCCCTGTCTCTCTTCACATCCTCTTCTATCTCTTTAAACTTATATTTTGAAAACCCTATTTTGAGCACTGCTGTCTCCTTCTCACTCACTCAAATCTCTCATTCACTCCTTGCTCTCTCTCTCTCTCGATTCTTCTTCGGTTCAGTGATTCTTCTTCGATTCTTCTTCAGTTCGGTGATTCATCTCGGGATTGCGATTTCGAAGTTTGATTTTGAGCATAGATTCGTGATTCATCTCCATGGATTTGGAACTCTTCTTCTTCTTCTTCTTCAATCAGAGGTTAGTTCCTCTCTCTTTCTCTCACTCAAATCTCTCTCGATTCTTCTTAATTTCAGTGATTCTTCTTCGATTTTTCTTCAGTTCGGTGATTCATCTCGGATTGCAATTTCGAAGTTTGATTTTGAGCATAGCTCCCTGATTTATCTCCGTGAATTTGGAGCTCTTCGTCTTCTTCGATCAGAGGTTAGTTGCTCTCTCTTTCTCTGACTCAAATACAAGATCTTGAGGTATGTGCTTTTGAGCATTCAACGGATGGTTTCTGGCTTTGCTGTTGGATCTCTCTAAATTTGGCAGGTTCCTTTTAAACTTATATTTTGAAAACCCTATTTTGAGCACTGCTGTCTCCTTCTCACTCACTCAAATCTCTCATTCACTCCTTGCTCTCTCTCTCTCTCGATTCTTCTTCGGTTCAGTGATTCTTCTTCGATTCTTCTTCAGTTCGGTGATTCATCTCGGGATTGCGATTTCGAAGTTTGATTTTGAGCATAGCTCCATGATTTATCTCCGTGGATTTGGAGCTCTTCGTCTTCTTCGATCAGAGGTTAGTTGCTCTCTCTTTCTCTCACTCAAATACAAGATCTTGAGGTATGTGCTTTTGAGCATTCAACGGATGGTTTCTGGCTTTGCTGTTGGATCTCTCTGAATTTGGCAGGTTCCTTGATTGTTTCTATGCCACAAAATGGTCTTATGAAGTATTTCAGAGAGGATTTGCGTTCCAGAAACAATCAAACCCGGATTAAGTGTGTGGATCTTGTTGGATTCTTAATTGATAACCATGGAGCAGGAGTAAAATATGGAATGCTATTTGATCTTTTTTCTTCTTTGAAAGGTACAGACTCTTCTATAATTTGCCTACAGATTGTGGGACAATTGAACTCCTTGCAGCTTGTTGCAAGCCTAACAGTAGAACGAGATGGTGAACGTAGGAAGGCTACTTTAAATACTCTAGCTACAGGTTATAAGATCTTTGGTGAGTTCTGCTCTTATCAAGCTGTAGACTTTATTTGGTGTTTGGTTTACACAAGGGCTTGAAGTTTTACATCCTGCTTAATTTTTAATTGATTGCTTCTAGGTCTTGTGTTTGTTTTAATCTTTTTTCCATTAATTTTAACTTTGGGAAGAAATGCCAATGCTTGCGGAAATTATTTATTTAGTAGTTTTCTTAGAATGTTTATTGTATTCTTTAGTGTTAGCTGCTTAGGCTGTCTGATTCAATTTTTTCTTAGGTGATGACATATGGAGATATGTTGGAAAGCTGACAAAAGCTCAAAGGAGCGTGTTAGATGTAGATTTAAATGGAAGGTTGGTACATATTTGCACCAATTGTTGTGTTTTAAGTGTTTCTGCTTCTTCCATTCATCATCCTATGTTTTGTCAGGCCCGAGACATGGACAAAAGGAATGAGGGAAAACCTGGAGAAGCAAGGGCTGTTTTTAGGCGTTCTGTTAGGGAAAATGGGTGTGTCTCTCTAAATTTTATACTAAACACCTTTTGTATTAATTTTACAACTTTAAAAATGACAATACTAATAAAAATGAAAGATGATATAGTATATTATGGATAATGATTTATAAGTGATAGGGTTTATATAGATATATAGACATATATATATATATATATATAAGAGATAAGAAATAAAAATGAATGTTCACGGTAATATTTGATATTTTAGTCTTATTTTAGAATTAAATAAGACAAGTTTGATTTTAGTGCTTCTCCAATATCAATAGTTATATTTTGCTGGGACCAATAACAATATATTTCCTAATTTAGTTGCTTTTTTTATTCTTAGATGATTGATTAAAGTAATTAATTGAAACATTAAACTGCAGGCCCTAGAATTCAGTAATTCAAACAACGTCATGTATTCTCACTAGGTCCTGTTTGGGCTCTTTGAGTGGGGACATCAATCCTCCTGGGTATGGTTCTAAGGAAATTTTCTTGTATATTATCATTGGTATATTTTTGATGGGTCAATAGAAGGGGTTGGATGATATATATATACTATAAATTTGTCCTAAGCGCGATGGGGCTTTTTTGGGCTTATCTAAAATTCCTTATTGGTGCATTTGCCCATGCCCAGGGAAATTCTCGCCATATATATATATATATATTATATTGACTTTGTTTCTTTGTCTTGGAATTTGAAGGGTTCTTTTAAGGAGGTTGCACCTTTACAATATTGAAAGAATGGATAACGCAGCACTTTGTGCAGCTTTGTCAGCCTGCCCATCTCTCCTTGATCTAGAGATTGTTAGCTTGTAAATTTTATTTAGTTGGTTTCGAATTCTGTTTCATATTGGTATGCTATACTTGTGGTAATTTGTGGTGGTAGCTCATATATTTTCTCTGCAGTGGAAGATTTTTGGTTTTTACTTTTGTTCCTTGGAATTCAAAATTTGTCTTCATTTGGATCAATTTGTCTTCATGTAGGTAGTTGGAACAATATGGAACAATACTGTTGTCTTATTGTCTTATTACTCATCTTTTGTAGGGATGCTATTGTGAGTTGGGTGAAAAAGAAGACGGGACCTGGTATAAGTTATGAAGCTCAAAGAAACAGGTTATCAAAAATTTCTGGGTGCTTGCATAAGTTATGAAGCTCAGAGAAAGAGGTTATCAAAAATTTCTAGTGTTAAATTTACGCTTATAGTATTAATGTTCTTGGTTCTAATCATTTGTTTGGAAATTCTTCGCCACTCTTTTTCAGGTAGGAGCTCCTCTGGAAGAGGATTTAGGTAGTTGGGGGCATCATTTTTTTCCAACAACAGTGCCTGATGCTATTTCCAAGCTTTAGCTGGAGAGGAGGTGCTAAGAGCTTTCAATATCAATATATTTGAATTTCTTGTGTGGAGAAATTTCTTAACTTAAGACAAATTTATAGTTTTCATGCTTCCTATAATAGTATAGCAGATTCATCATATATCCTACCAATGAAAAAATAATTGAGCATTACAAAATGCTAAAAAATCTACTGAAGAGTGTTAGCCTCTCAGTCCAATTTTTATTTGTGAAGGTTATGAGGTGAACCCAGTGAGGTATGTTGTTCAATTCAAGTAACTGTGTTATGGTGCTAGAACTTGCAATTATTTACCTATTTTAGATGGTGCAGTTGGTTTTAATCATTGTAAAGTTTTTAATTTCTTGTCAACTCTACAACTCAACTATGACCATATATGATTTTGGAAGTCCTAATAGAGTAGACATTATTGGAAGGCTCTAGCAATCTCTTCACCGAGACAGGTAATTATGGACTCTTTCAGTTGATGTCAGTGTAATTTAGTGTAAATTTAGTAACTTCAGCCTTTCATTACATCTTAGTAGAGTGAAAATTGCTTAATAAATCCAATTAAATTTATGTGTGCGCTTTAAAAGCAAGAACCATTGATCTCCATTGAGTATGGAATATCATCTAATTGGTTGGTAACTATGTCAAGTTGCAGAATAGAATTAGCTTCATTAATTTATTTGTCTATTTTCTTCATGGTTGAGTTAATGAATATTTTTTTCTCACTCATACTTTTGTGTTTTGTTTAATTTTCTTAATTGCTATTACTTATTATGAAAAGTATAGCGACCTCGGTCTTTTCTCTTTAAATTATTGTATCCGGACTTAGGTTCTGTGGATCCTGTCATTACTTATTGGTTGTCGTTGTCCTTTAATCTTTTTGTATTTGAAGTATAGGTTGGGTTGGGCGGGTCTGTTACAGGTTGGTTGAGACTATATACAACTTCCAAATTTCGATGTTGCTGCCGATGCTACAGAAACCTTTAAGGTAGTGTTTTCTGCTAGTCATTGCTCTCCATCTGGGCTTTGTTGTTGCTTCTGAGCTTGAGGTTTTGTTAATGATCAATCAATTATATTGATATAGGTGGTTTTATATGTATATACTATATACACATATATAATTTAGTAATGTTGATATTTATTTCATTCTAAATCCTGTATGTATTTTTATGTGTTTATAGTTTATAGATGTATGTATAAGATTATATAATATGCTAAATAAAGTGAATGTGATAATTCATGATTCACTATTCTCACATATGCATATTTGTGAATGGAGGTCACCTTCTACATGTTTCTATTTTTTTATATTTTAATGTTTTGATGAATTGGTTTGCAGGGGAGCCAATGAAGAGACCTAAGCATATTGTTGATGTTGGATGTGGAATTGGAGGCAGTTCTAGATATCTAGCTAGGAAATATGAAGCCCAATGCCAGGGCATCACCCTGAGCCCCATCCAAGCCCAAATGGTTGAAGGTCTTGCTGCTTCCCAAGGATTAGCCAACAAGGTTTGTGTGAGCTTTATTATGCTTTCCACTTTTTAGCTGGTTTTTTAAAATGAGCAAGGGAGGTAATGGAAACCCTTAGTGTACCTAAATTTCAGTTGAGTATGTGAGATTATGGTATCTTGCCTTTTATGGTTTTTCCATATATTTTTCTTTATGAGAGAACTTTATAGTTTATACCATGATTGTTAATATTGAGATCCTGCATGGGAATATTCCTACCTATCCTACTTGTGATTATGCTATAATATTGATTTTACTCCGATGTGGGTGAGTGTGAAGTAATTCAACATCTGCTTGATGTCACAGAGGCTGTTGCCGTAAATTCTGTATCTGAGAAGAGTTTACCCATGAGAATGGCATTCAAATTTGCTCGGCTGTTGTTCTGAACCTATTTTGTGTATGTTATATGATTATATCACAGCACTTGTTATTGGTCTGGTACCCTTTGCAAATTACAAATTATAAGATGCAAAGATTCTTTATTGGTCGGATTCAATATGTGTGTAGAGGTAGTTAATTGTGTTAGATGTGTCTTTTCAGCTGAACTTCTTTAATTAGCTTATTGTTGAGGTCTTGAAAGTATATAACTCAATGATTTTTTCCTTGTGCTGATTACAGGACAACTTGCTCGGGAAGTTTACGAGAACATTAGGAGAGAAGCTTCTTGTCTGATAATTCAGAGAGATTTTTGTATGCATCTTGCTAGGAAAGCATATAAAGAATTGTGCTCCTCTGCTATTTCTATTCAGGCTGACATGCGTGGAATGGTTACACGTGATGAGCATCGCTTCAGAAGGCATATTGCTATTTATGGAAAGCTTTTATTGCTGTATTCTCTTAGACTACTTGACTACATGAATTGTGCATTTGGATGTATTATTAGGAACTCCAACAATTTCTTTTTACACTAGCTTTTGTTCAACTGAGTTCTTTAAAATTACCATACTATAAAGCATTTATAATATTGTTTTTCTTTTGCAGAGCAGTTTGAAAACTGTCTTAGAATCTCTGAATACTTCTTGATGGGTTTAAAATTAGCACAATTTCAAAAAAAAAAAAAATTAAAAAAGGATATCACAGCGTTTTTCAAAACGTCACTTAAACCCTAAATCTAATGGTCATATGTTTTTAAAAAGATATGATGGCGTTTTAAAAACGTTGCTAAATATCACAGTGACGTCATGGTTCTATTATTGAGGACATTTGGTGGCGATTTTAAAATGCCGCCTATACTAATATCACGACGTTTTTAAAACGCCACAAAGCTATAGCGACGGTCGCGTCCTCGGCGTTCGGTGCTAAGCGTTGCAAAAGGATTTTGAGGCGTTTTTGGCACTTATAGCGTCATTTTTTAAACGCCACTAAAAGTCTGTTTTCCAGCAGTGATAAACTTATGACTAATTAGAATCACCTATGACTTGCTCAATGCTCAAAGGGTGGAGTGGTACTAGGTCCTTCAATATTAGGACAGAGTGAAGAATTTGCAAAAGCAGTGTTCCCTCTAAGAAGTGTAATGGTCCTAGAAACAATGGCAAACATTGGTCTCCTCTACTTCCTCTTCCTCATCGGAGTAGAAATGGACCTAGCCGTAATTCACCGCACTAGAAGAAAAGCCCTAGCCATAGCCATTGGAGGCATGATACTACCTTTCATCATCGGCATCTCCTTCTTCTTCATCTTGCAACAAAAATCACACACCTCCACAAAAAACAAAGCCACCGTCATCCTCTTCCTTGGTGTGGCTCTCTCAGTCACCGCCTTCCCTATCCTCGCTCGCATCCTAGCTGAGCTCAAACTCCTCAGCCCCAATATAGCTAGGATCGCCATGGCATCCGCTCTTATCAACGACGTGTGTGCTTGGATTCTATTAGCTATCGCTATTGCCTTAGCCGAAAATGACACAACTTCAATGGCCGCACTCTGGGTGATCGTATCAAGCATAGCTTTCATGGTTTGTTGCATATTCCTTGTGAGACCGCTGGTCACATGGATGATGAAGCGAACCCCAGAAGGGGAAGCGATAAGCGAATTCTATGTATGTTTGATTCTCACCGGGGTTATGGTAGCAGGGTTTATAACCGATGCTATTGGGACACATTCTGTGTTTGGAGCTTTCGTGTTTGGTCTAGTTATCCGGAATGGACTACTTAGTGTCACGCTCGTTGAAAAGCTTAAGGACTTTGTTTCGGGGCTTTTGCTTCCTTTGTTTTTCGCCATGAGTGGGTTGAAAACCATTTTTTTGGCGAGCACAGGGGCTGTAACAAGGGGGTACTTGATTCTGGTTATTGTTCTTGCTTTTCTTGGGAAAATTGCAGGGGCTCTAGTTGTTGCAATGTATTACCAAATGCCATTTTATGAAGCGTTTACACTAGGTTTGCTGATGAATACCAAAGGCCTTGTTGAAATGATTGTGCTTAATGTTGGTAGGGAGCAACAGCTACTTGCTTCTTGAAACCTTTTCAATTATTCACATGCTAGTATGATAAAACAAAAAGAGCAAAACTAAGACCCAAAAAAATTACGAAAAATTTTACATAATAATTGTGTAGAAATTTTGATAGTTCTTTTAGTCTCTCTAACAGTTTTGAAAGAAAAAATGTCGTACCTAAACCAATTTTTTAGTTCCATCTTTTAAACACTAGACAACAAAGTTATGGATCCTACATGAATAAATTTTCACTACTACTACTTCTTTCTTCTTTTTTTTCTTTTTGTCTTGTAGTAAGAAAATGAGGTTAGAAATTCAATTTTTTTTTTTTTTTTTTTTTTTTTTAATAACCATGATAAAATCTATAGAAATAGGTGCATAAATACAGTGACAAATAAAACTCATAGTCCTTATAGTTGGCCTCTCATAAGGGTCATCAAGTGGGCCCGCAAGTAGAAAACCCAACATTTCCAAGTCTAGCCCAGCTATCCTATGGCCTAGCCTGACCCGGCTCGACCCACTTCAATGCCCAGCCCATTCCAACCCAACTCATAAAAGATAATTTAAGACTTTGATCAAGAATTTGTAATCTGAGCCCGCTCATAAGTTAAGTCCGTAAAATCTAGCACAGGCAAACTCAACTCGACCATCCCATTAGCCCATAACCCAAATTGTCCATCGAAAATAATTCTCGTGCACAAACTTAACACTGTCCACCGATTTACTTATTGCCTAATTTTGAACCCATATTTAATTGGGCCTATTATCATGAAATTAAAGAAAGCCCAAATGACACTAAAACTCACAAGAACGCATTTCCAGAACTTATTAATCCACACAGTCAAATGGCTCAATTCCATTCCAACAGTAATATTTATTATGTTACAGGATCATTGTTCGATTATATGAGAAATGTAACAAGGAAAAGAAAAAAATAAATGAAAATACATGAAACAGGTTTAAAAAAACAAACAAACAAACAATCAAACGAACTAATGGAAATATTAAATGTTGAAAATGGAAAAAGTACAAATGGTAATAATATAAGTCTAATGGTCTCAGTCAAGCCCGATTCATTTTGATTTTAACTAATAAACATAGGGCATATGAGTGGAATATGGTTTCAATTTGCTAAGCAAGCCCAGCCCGGTCTAACTCGTTAACTGGTCAAAGTTCATAAGATTCAATCCATCAATGAGGACTTGGGCATATTACTTGCAGGCTGGATAGGGAGCCCAACCCGGACTATTGATAACAATTCAATCTTTGTAATAATAACTACAATTATAATTTAATCTACTATTATATCCAAACACGAAATTCAGATTGACAATCCAATCTCACAATCTTATCCCCCAAAGAAAATTTATGAAAAAATCCTGTTTTTATAAAAAATTCACAATTGAGAGTCTCATTTTCCATTTTGTTGTGCAGGTGTTAGATGACAGAGCATTTGCAATCATGATCATTGTAGCTGTAGCCATGACTGCGATCATCACTCCAATTGTAACCACAATCTACAAACCATCAAAAAGGTTTGCCCCCTACAAACAAAGATCAATTCAGATATTTAAACCCGAAGCCGAACTTCGAGTACTAGTTTGCATCCACACCCCTCGAAATGTTCCAACAATCATCAAACTCCTCGAAGCCTCTCACCTCACAAAAAATTCCCCATTTTGCATCTACGTCCTCCACCTTGTCGAACTCACTAGTCGAGCCCCTGCCATGCTCATTGTCCACTCCACCCAAGGCTCTGGTAGCTCCACCCTCAACCGGACCCAAGCCCAATCCAACCAAATTATCAATGCCTTCAAAAACTTCAAACAACGCGTCACTTGTGTCTCCGTCAACCCTCTCACCACCATCTCTCCCTACACCACGATGCACGAGGACATTTGCAACTTGGCAGAGGACAAGCATGTTGCCTTCATCATCATTCCTTTTCACAAACAGCAAATGGTGGATGGAGGAATGCAGGTTGCCAATGCTACATTCTGATCCATCAACTAGAACGTGTTGGCTAACGCGCCATGCTCAGTGGGGATTCTTGTCGTCCGAGGGCTAATTGGATCGACCCGTTTAGGTGCTTCTAACCAGGTTTTTGTTAATCTAGCAAAATAATATTTATATAAAATCTTATAATAACAATGACAAGAAAATATAATATAAACTGAGGGAAAATAAAAGTTGAGAACAACATATTAACAATTTGTTTGACAAAACCAAGTAACACTAACTTCTCTTTGCTAGATCTACTATAATTTAGAAAGAAAAGTAGTTTGAGATTATTATTCTTAGTCTAGAAAAATAACAATCACAATAGTAAGTGCAAATATTATAAATAAAAATGACAGAAAATACGAAACAATTAGAATTTAAATTAAATGACAGTAGTAATGACTGAAATATAAGTTAATTTTTTCTTCATTTTCCTCAGTTTATATTATAGAAAAAATAGAAAAAGAGTAATGTTAGGGATCATGAAAAAAATATCATGAAATGTATCATGAAGATTTTTCATCCTTTGATTAGTGTGTGATGTTTTATTGTATGTGTAATCCGAAGGTGGAGAATCTTTTATGATCATCTTCATGACATTTTTTTTTCATGATCCCTATAAATCTAACACAATAAATGAGTATTATTTTGTAACAAAACTGGAAAATCGATGGGTTTAAATCTGTAATGATTTAACATAAATTTTGTATTGGATTTTGTACAACTGTTTTGAACTTAATTTCAACAGTACTGATCTTTAGATAAAATAAAAAAAATTAAATAATAATTTTGATTTTGTTAAAACATCCTAACAGGTTTCACACCAAGTTGCTGTCCTATTCTTCGGTGGAGCAGATGACTGAGAGGCACTATCATATGCTTGGAGGATGTCTGAGCATCCCGGAATCAGTCTGACCGTCATGCGATTCATCGCCGGTGACAATGCAATTGATCCAACGAGGCTGGAGACTAGCGCCGAACCCAACAATGCTACCACACTGACAGTGGTGACAGACAGTGATAGAGATTATAGCGACCCCGGTCTTTTCCCATTTGATTATTGTATCCGGACTTAGGTTCCGTAGATTCTGTCATTGTATAATTGTTGTTGTTGCCCTTTATTTTCTCATTTGGAATTATAGGATGTGTTGGGCAGGTTTGTTTCAGGTTGGTTGGGTTTAGAAACCAAGTGTTGCTGTCCAGGTTTTTGGTTTTCGCTCGAGCGAGGAGTTGGTCGCTCGAGCGAGATGGGAGTTTTAAATCTGCTTTTATTCATCATGACAAAATACTAGGAAATGAAACTGCCCATCTAGGGTCACTTTGGATGGAGGAGGTTCCAATTGAGGTTTTTTCTTGTGTCCATTCTAATTTTGTTTGTACTTTATAAATGAAATCATCTTTATACAAAAAAAGAATTTTTTTTTAAAAATTCTTTTAAGTGTTGTTTTTGAATCGCTACGTTAATAGAAAACTTCCATCATTCCAAACCTTTTCATCCGTAGAATTTATTAGTAAAATTCCTACCTTATTTACGTCTCTAAAATTTCTAACATATTCACATTTCATAAAAACCCAATAAATATGTTTTCCACTACAAAATCGACTTGGCTGTTCACAGAACAAATGATGTTCATTTAATTAATAAAATTACAACTTTTTCCTTTCCCTGAGCAAAGCCAGAGAGATGGTTGTCTTGTAATATATGAGCTTCAAATCCCTCGTGCCAGTTTCAATAATCCTTTAGGCTTCATCAAAATCCTTTAAAAATGAATATTCCAACCAAAAGAAATATGTCAATGTGAAATGTAATTCAAAAAAAACTAAAACTGATTACCACAAAAGTATAAACTCCGTCTATGTAAGTTTTGGTATTTTGATATGTTGGGGATACTTTGTAAATTTTGGGAAAAACCCTGGTTGTATTATTGAATTAATTTGTATAAGTAATTCATGGAATTGGGAAAAGAGGGTTAAATTCATGGAATTCATTGATTAAATGTCGTAATTGGATAATTGGTATCTTTTGTCTATTGAATTGTTGACATAGTTATTTTCAGTTTAGAAATAACTGTTTTGGGCTATCGGTGGAGGATAGTCGTGATTGTTGTAGACATTGCATGTGGATTAGGAATAACTGAAACTAATCACATTGGTTAAGTCATTAATTTTGACTATTGCATTGATACAGAAAATACGTGTATTGATTGAGCATTGCATTTGCATACGTTGTTTTTGTGTGTGGGAGGAGATAGGGGATGTACTCCACGGTTTAGAGGAAGATAGGGGATGGACCTCTAAACCGGATTTTGTTTGGGAGGAGATAGGGGATGGACTCCAATAACATCACTTTTATGTGTGCTTATTTATATAGAAGTGTTTTATTGATACAGCACTAAAATGTGTATCAATCTGGGAGTATGAAGTGTTTTGAATTGAGCTTGAGTCTCACTTGTTTGTTGATATTGGGAGAATGTGAAGATGATATATATAATTCACTGTTGTAAGTTTGGCCAGGTTCTGAGCCATGTTGATAAAATTGGAAAGTAAAACGTGTCTTAGACAATAGTGTCATGAGACTGTAAAATGAAGTAATTAATTATCTTGGTTAACCATCTGTTGAATGCTATTGCTTTATTCATTGCTTATATGTGGTTTAGTATATTTCTACTGGGCTGTGGCTCACCCTATATGGGAACATCATTTTCAGGTTCAGGTGATAAGCTACCTCCAAGGACTTAGCTTGGAAGGGATTTGGATTTCGAAGACTATCTTTAGTTAATTGTCTTTATTTATTAGTACATGTAAACATCCAAGCCTAGGGCTTTTCTTGTATTGAGTTAGAACTCATCTTTTTGTATCCAAGTGTTGGCTTGGAAAGATGTAAGCCTGTAGGGCATTTTATTCGATGTTACATGTAATGCTTTTATTTGGTAATACTCTGATAAATGAATTAATGAATTGTTTTCTTTAAATAGTGCATGTCAATGACACATATATATATTGGGTTTTTTTTCAACAGTACTGATCTTTAGATAAAATAAAAAAAATTAAATAATAATTTTGATTTTGTTAAAACATCCTAATAGGTTTCACACCAAGTTGCTGTCCTGTTCTTCGGTGGAGCAGATGACAGAGAGGCACTATCATATGCTTGGAGGATGTCTGAGCATCCCGGAATTAGTCTAACCGTCATGCGATTCATCGCCGGTGACAATGCAATTGATCCAACGAGGCTGGAGACTAGCGTCGAACCCAACAATGCTACCACACTGACAGTGGTGACAGACAGTGATAGAGATAAACAACTAGACGAGGACTATATAAAAGAGTTTAGGGCAAGAACTGTAAATGATTCAATAATTTACAAAGAAAAGGTGGCAAATAATGGGGAAGATACCATGGCGGCGATAAGATCGATTGACAATACATTATATGACCTTTTCATAGTTGGCAGAGGACGAGGCTTGGTGTCGCCGCTCACGGCAGGGTTGACAGATTGGAGCGAGTGCCCGGAACTTGGTGCAATTGGTGATTTATTGGCATCATCGGATTTTGCAGCCACCATGTCAGTGTTGGTGGTGCAGCAGTATCTTGGAAATGGGCAGGGGGACAGACTTGAAATGCCGAACAGCCCAATCCAACATCATGAACAGTACAGCAACTTCAGCAGCCATCGACCTAGGGCGCAGGCCTTATTCTATGAATAAGCAGAATGTGCGTTTGGAGCTCATGATTTAAATAGCAGTATCAGAATACGTGTTAATATTAACAATGCAATCATACATAAATAGTATAAGTAAATATATCAACAAATATCAATATCGAAAGTTAAAATCTCAATAAGTATTAGCTGATATTTAAAATTCTGATAGAGCCTTTCACATTGGTAGATGAGATTTTTCATTGACGACTACATTTTTTTTCCTTTGTAGTTTATGCTATAATTAGGGTTTTTTTTTTTAACCCTATGTTTAGAGAAGCAAATGCCTGCTTGAAGGAATAGAAAAATTATCATACAGAGTATGATTAGAACAAAGCTAGTGAACCAAATGGTTACTTTGTACTGGTTACTTCTCCCATTTTTTTTTTCTTTTCCTGTCTATATTTTCATTTATTCGAATTATCAATATTTCAATAGACTCAGAGATTCCAATGGAGTATATGAATTATTATAGACTCAAATTAACTTTATTTTCTTACATAGAAAATAAACAATTTAGATTATCAAAATGATTCCAAAATAAACCCAGACTACCTTAACAAGACCCTTCAATTCAATTACTGAACGGAACGGGAAGCTGGTCCAAAATTTAATCATTTTAATATTACTCTTCATTATATATATCAATCTTCTTTTTTCTTTTTAGTTTTTCAGAACATCAAACAACATCATAGAAATGTCCTAATCTAAAGGGGAGGGCGAAGGGTGTCGGAAATTAAAATTGCAAAACAACAATCACTCACATAATTTTAAAAGAGAATTAAAGAAGAAAATTTTTTACTTATATTCTCCATAACTTGCAAAGAAACACCAAAGTAATCATGGAGTAGGAATCATAGAAAGCAAAACAACTTTCAAAATAACAAGAATCAATAATCGCATTTTATTGATGTTGAAAGCCTGCAATCCTTAATTATTTTCTCTTTCATGAACAAGGATGACAATACGGTGGATATATAAATCAAGTTGTAACATCTCAAACGATTACCCATATGAACGTTCCTCATACAACACCACACTGGAAAAGTTTACGAGGAAGAGATATAATTATGAGATCAATACAAAAACTTTAATTAGGCACATTGGAAGTCACTTGGGACATTCTTTCCACAGCAATTCAGCAGCTCGCTCAATGAAGTAGGAACATTGAGGTTAATTCCCAACACATTACCTTTAATGGCGGTGCAAAGGCAAACAGCAGCCTCAAGATCAGCGAGACCCTGAATGAGGGTGCAGCATGGAGTCTTGGGCGGGGTTCCGATGACAAGGTGCACCAAATCATCAAGCAAGTTACCACAAACACCCAACTTTAGGGTGTCTCTAGGACAAGTGGCCATAGCGGGCGGAGATGGGCGCTTGTGGTGGTGCTTGGGAGTTTTTGGTGGTGGTGGTGGGCATGGGTCATAATTAGAACTCACCAGAGTGAAGAAGAGGAGGTTGAGGGAAAGGAGGAGGAGAGCCTTTGAAGCCATCTCAAATGACACCTAAAAAACTCTTACAATTCTTCTTTTTTTTTTTGGGGGGGGGGGGGGGGGAGAGAATGTTGTTGGGGGAAATGGTGGAGTGGGTTAGGCTTTTATAGATAGAAAATAGACTCTTTTGTTTTTGGTTTTTTTGTTTGGCGATGAAGAAAATATAGAGATAGCTGTTGGAAAAAATGAATTTTTGATGACTTTAACTAAATATTAAAGTACTAAATATTAAAGTAGGTCCCAACCATCTATTGTGTTCGGTCTAAGTGGGTCTAGATACTTTGCAATGAGATCTTTGCACCACAAATAAAATGGACAAAAACCATTGAGAATTGAATGAAAAATTGTCCCATAAAGTTAGCTTCATGAAAGAATTAATGGGGTTTGTAATTTCTGCCTTTATTGCAGAGTTTAATAGTGCATTAATGGGGTTTGTAACTCCTGCCTTTATTGCAGAGGTTAATGGTGCATTAGTGACCAGCCATGAAGGCTAGAGACTTCTCCTCTCTCCCCTATACATGTATAAATTGAGACTCTCCTGTTAAGTCTCAAACACAGAAATTGTTTCTTTCATTCTTTAGTCAGTTTGCTAGAAATTTTTACTGTGAGAGAGTGCTGCCATTGTCGGTTCGCCAAAGCTAATAGAAGGTGTTTTTGAGTTAGCCGGTTTAAACCATCTTATCCTGGGAGATAGAAGTGGACGTTCCTCCAGCACCCATGGTGAGGCGGCTAATTTATTTTAAAGACATTGTGGTATCATACGGAATTTGGTTTGATTTCTTATCACTACAAGAAAAAACACATTTGGCGACCAAATTTCCCGACTAAAAAGAATTTGGTCGCTGAAAGTATAGCTTTCAACGACTAAAAAAGCATTAGTAGCCAATTGTGAAGCCTTTTGGTGATTAAAAAACTTTAGTAGCCAAAAGTCTATAATTGGCGACTAAAAATAAGTTTGGTCGCCAATTATATGGGTTTTACCGAAAAACATTTTTAGTAGCCAAAAGTATAGTTTTTGCCGACTAAAAAAAATTTAGTAGCCAAAAAGTCAACAATTGGCGACTAATTATAATTTTGGTCGCCAATTATGTGGGTTTTACCAACAAAAACATTTTTAGTAGCCAAAAGTACAGCTTTTGCTGACTAAAAAAAAATTTAGTAGCCAAAAAGTCTACAATTGGCGACTAATTTTAAGTTTGGTCGCCAATTATGTGGGTTTTACCAACTAAAACATTTTTTAGTAGCCAAAAGTAAGTTTTTTGGCGACTAAAAAAATTTTAGTAGCCAAAAAGTCTACAATTGGCGACTAAAAATATGTTTAGTAGCGAAAAGTGGTCCGTTTTAGCGAGAAAGTCTCTTCGACGACCAAAATTATTTTGGTCGTTAAAAGTTAAATTTTTATTTTTATTTTGCTACTAAATAATTTACTTTTACGTAAATTATGTCAATAAAAATAATTATTTTTATACATATACTTTTATATTAATACGGGTCTATGTACTCACTACTAAAATTTCAGACGGTAAAATGCCATCGCTAATACTTCTAATGCTGTCGCAAAAAACTTTTTGCGACGGGAAATGACTTTTTCCGACGGCAAGAGGGGGGTTGCAACTGGGGGAGTTGCAAAAGAGTTTTTGCGATGGCACTTGTTTTGCAACGGCATTTTCGCCTTATGCGACGACACTTTACAGTCGCTAATAATGTTTGAAATTTCTTGACTTTTTTGCGACGACACTATTTTACCGTCGCTAAAAATGTTATTTGAGACAGCATAAAAAAGCCGTCGCTAATAGTCTTCTTTTTTGCAACGGCAAGAACACTATTTTTGTGACGGTGTGTTGCCGTCGCAAAAAGTATTAAAAATATGAAAATTTCGATTTTTGCGACAGTGTACTGCCGTCGCAAAAAGTATTAAAAAATAATAAAATTTCTATTTTAAATAATAAAATTTCTATTTTTTGCGACAGTTTAGTGCCGTCGCAAAAAGTAAAACCTGTAACAAAATCAATAAAAATATTAAAATTTTCTGTTTTTTGCGACGGTGTAGTACCGTCACAAAAGAAAAAAACATCCTGCGATAAAATCATTAAAAATGTTAAAATTTCTCTATAATAATATAAAAATTCTTGTATAAAAATAACAATTTCTCCATAATAAAATATTCTTCCATTCATAATTACACATCAACAAAATTATCCCACTACATAATGTTCCATAATACATATATAATGTTTAAATACATGATTTTGTTCATAATTCAAAATAACATAAACCAAAATTAAATGTTTTTCTCACCATTCTTCGTAAATAACAAAAACAAAAATTAGTCATATTCTCCACGGGCATGCATTCCACAAGAAGCACACTTTTATATGGGAAATACCTGAAAAATAAAAATAAAAATTATTAATGACAATATAATTATGTGTTAATGTTAATTACAAAAAAACATAAAAATTTAACTACTATAGCATCAAATACTACATTTTTTTTGTTAGTCATCAAATCCCACATGGATAATTAAACATCTGAATCAAATACAAAAAAAAAAAAAAAAATTTAACTACTATAGCATCAAACACAAAAAAACATAAAAATTATATCTGAAATCTGGCTCTAACTCCCAACAACATCAAATACAACATTTTTTTGTTAGTCATCAAATCCCACATGGATAATTAAACATCTCAATCAACAATGAGAACAGATGCATTTCTGAGAAAATTAAGCAATGGAAATAAGTTATGACACCAAATAAGACCCTACTAAAAATAATAGCACCAAACCATTTATTTGAGACAAATTTGGAAAAACCATCTTTAATTTTAGGCTTTAAAAAATGCTATTCAAGCTGCAATTCCTTGTAAAATTACATAATCCAAGAAACTAGCTACATACAGTGTCAATAACCAATTGTCCTTGCCAAATAATGAAATTTATAAAAATTTCCAACATTCACATGTTTCTTTCAGTGCATGTCACGGTGGTCAAGTGAGCAACAAAAATTTCTTTAAGGCAGCTCAATTCAAATTAGCAGCAAGCACTGGAAATGTCAACTTAGGCTATTTGGAAGGGCCTTAGTATACATCTAAACATAAACAAAATGAACATCTGGCAACATGTACAGAACTTTACCCTTTTATACTTCTGGAGAAAACCCGAAAACAGTCCCCACTCATTTTGCTGTTGAGAATTTTGAAAAGAAGGGAGTAGGATACATTGAGGTAATCCAGAAATAATAGTATCTGGCTTTTGTCAAACTATATTAGATATGGTCCAAATAAGAGGCTTGCAAAATGTTTCATAGTTAGTGTGAGTAGAATTTCATGATCAAGAATGTAAAAGATCTTAAATGGACTAACCAAAAAACTACAAGGGACAACCTATTTCTAGAAGTGTGAAAACAAGAATCCACATAAGGAAAGAGGTAAAAGATGTTGGAATACCTACTTTAAGAATATCCCATGATTAGGCAATCACGGATTCTATGCCTTGTTCAATGTAATCAGAT